AGGATCCGTCGGATCACGGGATTGGGTCGAAGGCTCTCGCTCCGGGCCCAGGTGAAGGGGTTTTAGGGTACGACGCCGTTCGTGAGTGGAACGCAGCGAACAAGGCGAGCGTCGTTTATGACGGGGAGTCGGTGTCGTATTACTCGGTGGCGAACGGTTCTTGGGTTGGGTACGATGACCAGATGTCCATTGATTTGAAGATCCAGTATGCCCGGATGAAGGGCCTTGGTGGATACTTCTTTTGGGCCCTTGGGCAGAATCGGAACTTTGCTATCCCAAAATTAGGTAAACTTAATCTTCTCTCACTAGTGCTCACCTTTTGTGTGAGGTGATTTTTCGCTATCGTGCTGACGTTATTGGATTGAGTTTTCTGTATAATTCTAATCATTTGTTATGAGCAGAGATTGATATAATGGTATCAATGTGTGTTCCTCTGATCAGTATGTTAATTGTGACGTTTGATCGGTAGGTATTCTGACTTAATAGTTTCATTTTTTTCTTGTGCAGCTTCAAGCGCTTGGGAAACCTGAAAGAAGTAACAGCTTTCGAATCGAAATATGTCACAATGTTCATTTAGTTATCTCAAATCAATTTTTTTTTCTTTTGTCAATGTTAATTATATCTAGTTTCGTGTAATAATATTATGGTTCGGAATATTCGGACTGTTGATGTTTGCTCTCGCAGTTTAATGATAAAAAAAGAAATTGGCACTAAGTTCATGGGATTTCACCAATCACACTATTCACCATGCGAGCAACTAATTTGTATTGCAGTACGAAATCAAGGTAACGGTAACGTGATGTTGATCTGGTTTCAAATGTAAGGATCCATTTTTCTGCTCTATGATTTGCACTTCACCGAAGGATCTCGCTAGGTAAACAACTAGACTAGCTCTAAGCGTAACTGTTGTTTTGGTGCGTAATTACAAACAAAAAAAAAAAGACATGGAAATACGTACGTATGCAATTACATGAGTCGATGACTAAAAATATTCTTATTCTGGTTCAGAGCCAGAGAATATGGCATATATTTACATAAGCAGGGCATCTCTATTGTTTTATGCAGCCGGCCACAAAAAGGCAACTGAACTCTGAAATCATTTTTATTATTTTTCCGATGTAAATCGTATGGTTCTGTAAAAAAATGTTATACCCTACATAAACTAAACCTATTTAGATTGTAAATTTAATTAAATTTTAGGAATGATCATATATTATGAACTAGAGTAACTAAACAATAGATCATTATCTTCTAAATTCTTAGAAGGTGCATTTGATACATTGCATGTATTTCGACGAATTCTTTATTGTTTGTCATTGTTTTATACAATTAATTTGAGCGTCTATCATACCTCAAAGTTGGGAGTTATTTGGATGGGGTATTTGTATGAGTTATTTGGGTTCAAATAACTCACAATGAATTATTTGAACACAAATAACTCGTTTGGCGGCGTTTTATTAAATAAGTTATTTGGACAGTGAGTTATTTACAAATAACTCAAACGAGTTATTTGAAATAAATAATATCAATGTATTATTTGAAATAACTCGTTTTACCACTCTGTTTTTTTTATCAAATACCACATGTCAAATATCATATTTGCGTGATTCAACCAAACGAGATATTTTATTTCAATTATCACTGAAATGCCACATGAACAATAAATGAGTTATTTGACTTTACAAATATCACATTTCATAATTTAAATAGGGTATGCTATCATACCTCAGATTTAGATTAATTTATGATTTAAATAGTGTTTTTGTTTTGTTTCTGACATATATCAAATAAAATAATTAATATTTGTATAATAAAAAATTATTTGATTATTGTAATGTTTTGTTGGCGTTGGGGGCTTTATTTCCAACTCACGCCAGCCAAAGGGCGAGAGACTGAGAGCTCATGTGCCTTACAAAAAGGGCAGAGAGCAGATAACAGCAGAGGGAATCTCAAAGATTTGGCACTCAACATGAATCTTCTTCATATCTTTTTAATTACTTATTAATTATCATAACCCCACATTTTTTTTAATTAATCTTTCACTAGATCAAGTCTGCGTACTATGGTTGCGACCACCTTTTCATGCTCTCTCTCTCTCTGCATAATAATTGAGATTAAGCAGAACCCTAGACTTAAACTAACACGATAATCGACAGTCAAAAGCATGGTGGGCGATGTGTGCTCTGCATTAAAAGAAGAATACGAGGAATTGGATATAATAGTGTGAAGGTTTGGTAGTATTGGGATCTTTGCATGGATCCACAATGTGGGGTTTTTGGCTCACTGATTAACTAACTGAGAAGGATGGCTAGATGCATTAGGTGCTGGGTTGGGCTAGTTTATTATTTCGGAATTCGGTCGGTTATTTCGGTAATTCGATTCGGTTCAAATACGTCTGATTTCCGAAATACACCACATACATTTTCGAATTTCGAACTTAATTGTATGTATTTCGGTTTCAGTCGTATTTTGTTCGGTTCGGTAAAACCGAACCTAATGCCCACACCTATATGGCTATATAAGTACCCATTAATCATAATTTCGATTTGGAAAGATTATTGTAAGCACTTTGAATTGGTCATTACGATTTGATTTCTGAATTAGTGTCTATACATGGCTAGCTATCTAATTAAAACCTTCTAGATTGTCTATTAATTAATTAGGAGCAAAATATTATTATCATGAGAAGGGGAATTGCCTGTGGCCATTCCTGATCTGCTGCTGCGTGCCATGAAACAGTTTTGAACTTGATCCAATTAAAAGTTTAAATTATCGGGACAAACTTGTGTTTTACAAGTCATTAAGACTTTGACGTATCTTCTGTTCAAATCTTCCTAATCTACCTAACCCATGATCATATCATATGCAATGAGTTCTAATGGTTGGGAGACAAGGAACAGCAGAGGAATCAGGATAGTTGACTCTTGTTTACCTATAAAATGTAGAAGAAAAAAAAAAGCTATAAAAACATTCCACGACATAAGCTATAATTATCTAGCTACATTTCAGAGTGCATGCAATTATGAGACGACTTTTTAATTTTATCAAATGAAGATCGAGGGTGGTTGAAGAGGCCAACAAATATGTAATTAATATTTTTTTTTCTTATTTTGCTATTGTGTTCATGTGAGAACGTATTCACATTGTATCATGTTTTTTTGGATCGTTCACGGTCGTTTTTTAGCTGTCAAATGAAGAGCAATGATATTTTATTTAAATAAATAACGTCATGTTCATTCAACAACTACGGAGCGTTCGTGCTCAATTCGATGAGCACAAAATGTTTGTGATCAGCACATTCTCGTAGATGCCCAACTGTTATAAGCACCATAGTCGGATTCAACCTCGTGCGTATATAGTTGCATCAACATATAGATTGGTAGGGTTTGTTTACTTCCTATGTGGAACCCAAAAACAAAAGAATTGTTGTCTGCCCATCCATTAGCAAAATATAGCCCACGAGAAAGAGAGTAAGAGGGTGATGAGGATGACATGATATATTAGTAGTGGGCATTGAAATGGAAGCTGATTTGCTAGGCCTTTCAATTTCATCATTTGAGTGGTGGACAAGCCATTGAATTATAATGCACACTTTATGTTGCTCTCCATACATGTGTTTGGATTTTGGAAAGGATCTATATTGCTAGTAGCCTTGATCATGACAATTTCACTTTGTTGGAAAAATGAAATTGTTCAAAGTTATTCGGAGGATTTCGTAAATCTAACGTAAATTTTTTGTTCATTCAGAAAGATAAATTATCGTGATAGTAACAATTATATCTAACCAATAATTTCTAACTTTTGCACACTTTGCTTTATGTTCACTACTATCTCACTGCAGGTACATCCATATAATTCTTGGTTTCTTTAGACATGTCGCTGCATTTCCCCCCCGTTTTGTACAATAGAGCTTGTTAGAGTTAACGATGCTAGGAATCACACCAAACATGGTAACCAACTTCCTTGACCCATATCGCTTCTTTAGCGACATTTGAAGAATCCGTATGTTTAATTTGTATAATAAAATCGACTATGTTGTTGCTTTCGACCTAATAATCTTATAAAGCCGCCATTATTCCCCTGAAGAAAAAAAACATACTTTTTTTTTAGGAAAAAAAAATACCTTGATTACACCAAAAAGTATCAAAATCTAATCTGAAAACTAATAGAATTATTTACAATCTGAATCCCCGTATAACTATTTACAATTAGTTCACCTTCTCCTCAAAAACGCCACCAACATATTCAAAAAACTGCCAAACCAGTTCAAATTATTACTACTTAATTAGCAAGTGGCCGTAGGTTTTTTCAGTACTTCAGTTCTTGATTCTGGTGGCTGCATTGCTATATGAATTATGATCATGAGGCGAAAAGACACCAAACCAAAGGTATAGATGCTTTATCCAGAGGCAATCAAATAAATAAAAGATTGGAGGACTTTATTTGCGTTAAAAGAAACAAACCTCTGGCCTGTTAAAGCTAAAGTTGATTGAGCAAAAGCAACTAATAACCCAATAAACAAAATTAAAAGCACCAATAAGCAGTGTACACAAACTTATGAGAAAAGCCCTACAATTTTTTTTTTGAAAGAAAATAGGTTGACCGAAGAAAGGGTAATTGGGCCGCAGAGCCTCTGAAGCACGCTTACACCAGAAAAGGGTCTCTTTTTTCTGCCACTCATACCACTGTAAATATCTTTTTTACCATATTTGCCTTTCGTTTCAATTCAGGCAGCTGTTACCAAAACTTGCTCACAAATCAAGTCCTGCATGTCCTTTGTTTTTTACTCTAGAGGCTACAGCTCAGAAATCGAGTTAAATATGGTCTAATGGTTTAGGATTAGCACAGAGATAGTAAATCAATCTCTTATTTATTAATTATTGTAACAATATTATTGACTTCTTAAAGTAAGTAAACTAGCTTTCCGCAGCTTTTCTCTGGACCTGCCCTTCTCATCTTTAGATTACCTTGACATTAGCGCAATTAACTCCTTTCAAGAACAGCAAATTCAGTCCAAGTTCAGAAAAAGATAAAAAGATTGGATCTTTGATTAAACAGCAGAGCATAACTCACGCCGGAATCCAGCTCTCACCGTCCATTTCTTGTTTTCCAGATTCCATTCTTCCCCCCACTAGCTCTCCTTCCTTCCTTCCTTCCTTGCTTTCTCTCTAATTAACACTCACCCTTCCATTTCTCTAGCCCTGCTTCTCAATCCTTCATGAGCATTAAACCCCACAATCACAACAGTGTCAACGCCGCCTTCCGCTCTCTTCTCACTTTACCTTTTCCCCCTCAATTTTTTTTTTCTCCGGTTGTTTTCTTTCTTTCTCCGGTTGATTTTTGTGGTTTTGTTGTTCTTCTAACACCGAAAAAATGACTGTGGAGCAAGGAGTTGGAGGGAATCAGGACCAGTTCCCCATCGGCATGCGGGTACTAGCTGTCGACGATGACCTAACTTGCCTCATGGTTCTGGAAACCCTGCTTCGCAAATGCCAATATCATGGTCTTCCTTCTTTCCCCTTCTCAATTTCTCTTTTGTGTTTTTGTCAAGTTTCTGTTTTGATTGGTGGGTTTTGCTCCTTGATGCCTTCTCTTTAGAGGGTCTGGGTTGGTTATGGTAAATTTGACATCTTTGTGACCGTTGACTTCATTTAATTGAGCTCTTCCTTTCGGGTGTTAGCTTTTGTCATACGAGGGGGAATTTCTTTTGCTTGATTGCCCTGTTGGTCCCTTGGAAAGATTATTACTTTTGAAAGATAGTTGTAGTTCATGTGTACTTCCAATCATGAGCAGTTGTTGACACTCAGTTGACCTCTTTCTCTGAAATCATTGAATCTCATGGATCTGTTCTAACTCTCATAATGGTTCCTCGTTGTGCTTTACTGGTTTTGTTGTAATTTTCATGATGGTTAGTGCCATGGCAGAGAATTGATTGCCAGATTCATGTGGGTTTTGGGGGGTCTTTTTGTTGTTATTTCTGCAGTGACTACTACTAGTCAGGCAAGGATGGCATTGAAGATTTTGAGAGAAAGGAGGAACGACTTTGACCTTGTTATCAGTGATGTTCATATGCCAGACATGGATGGTTTCCATTTACTCGAGAAAGTTGGGCTTGAAATGGATCTCCCTGTCATAAGTAAATCTCAATCCCTACACTGGCTCGTATGCTAGTTAACTATTATTGGTCCCATTTGCTAAACTTTTGGTAATCGTTTGTTGGTTGCAGTGTTGTCAGCTAATGGTGATCCGAAGGTGGTGATGAAGGGGATTACTCATGGCGCTTGTGATTACTTGCTGAAGCCAATTCGGATCGAGGAACTCAAGAACATATGGCAGCATGTTGTAAGGAGGAAGAAGACTGATAATAGGAGCAATGTTGATAGCACGGTGAAGCCTCATTCTCAGAGTGGCGAAGCAACATCGGACCACAAACTGAACAAGAAACGAAAGGACCAAAATGGTGAAGACGATGATGACCTTGATGAGAATGGAAATGACAATGACGACCCCAGCAGCCAGAAGAAACCCCGAGTTGTTTGGTCTGTGGAGCTGCATCGCAAGTTTGTCTCTGCTGTCAATCACTTGGGCATCGACAGTATGTATTTGTTCTGATCTAATGTTCTCATGGATAACCCTTTCATAGTCTGATTTCTCAAGTTTCTCTGTTTCCCTCGTTGATATTTCGCAGAGGCTGTACCAAAGAAGATTCTGGAGCTAATGAATGTTGAGAAGCTGTCGAGAGAAAATGTGGCAAGTCACCTTCAGGTATGTATATAATACTCCCCAATCTCTCCTGTGCTTGTTTAAACTGCAGCGAACTACCACTGAATAGTTTGCTTGCTCCATTTCTTTCGGTGGCTGTAGAAATATAGGCTTTACCTCAGAAGGATCAGCACAGTGGCGAACCAGCATGCTAACATGGCAGCAGCTTTAGTGAGCACAGATGCTTCATATTTGCAAATGGGTGGTTCTTTAACTGGATATGGGTTACATAATGTTGCTGGAAATGGGCAATTTCATAATGGAGCAGGTTACATATCTGTAAATCCGAATGGCATGCTCGGGAGGTTGAATTCACCCGCTGGTATGAGCATTCACGGTCTTCCTTCTTCTGGAATGGTACAAGTAGCATCTCATGTACAAGGTGGCAGAAACCATTTGACTACTAATCAGAGACAGTTCCAGTCAGGAATAAGCAATGCAGATGTTTTACAAGGGATGCCGGTTTCGCTAGAACTTGATCAAATACAGACGAACAATAAGGGGCTTAATTACATTAGACAACACATTCCTCCTGCAACTGAAACTACTACTGCTGCTTTCCCTCCTGACATGAGTATGGTTGTTGGCAGTGGCTCGAATGGTTCGTTCATGGTAGGGGCTTCAGAAAAACCCTTGCTCCTTGATCATGGTCGATGCAATGAGAACTGGTCAAATACTTCTGCTCATTCCACCGGCAGTACAACCATGTTCCTTGATCATTGTGATGTCCCTTCGCGCTCTTCACTGCCCATTCATTTGCAGGGCACAAAAGCAGACTCAGGATGTCGGGTTGTTTCTGCTGGCAGTAATGGTGCCCAAATGATGAGTAATGCTCCACAGCAGGGCTGGGATAGATTGGCTGCACCTTCTTACAACCACTTCAATAATGTGGGATCAAGTTCAGTGAACTTGTCGATTCAAGATAATGGCGGGGTTGATATGATTAACCAGAGATGGGATGCAAATAATGCAAGCTTGCTGAGAACTCCGAGCTTCAGTTCTGCCGGACAATCGAATTTCTTGGACACATCGTCTGTGAAGCACAATGGTCTATCAGTGGAGATACCTCGGGTGTCGATTGCACGTCAACCAAACCAGCAACATAATTTGCAGACGGGTCACAGTCACGTTGGCTCCTTGGAAGATGTAGCTGGGTTTATGACCACTCGGGTAAGTTCTGTTTCTTGTTTGTTATATGTCACACAACCTAGCTGTGGTGTAAGCTTAACAGAACATCATCTAACCAGCTCTGACTGTTTTTTCGCTGATGATGGTGCAGGAATGGACCAGGTGAAACTAATCAAGAAGTTATTCTCTCGACAGTAAGTAATCAGCAAGCAAATGCATATATAACATAGATTCTTATGAGGCATCATGCAACTGGTAATCAGTGGACGAAGAAGGGTTTCTTTGTGGAATTCACAGTTCATTGCATGAACCACCATTGTAGCTTATTCCCCCTTTACTCTAGAGAATTGCAGCAAGGTGTATGTGGTCGTTGTTTCTCACTTCCTTTCGTTTTGTCTCATCGCCTCTGTTTTAACTTAGAGCCAGAGTGGAAATTTTCGTAATAAGTTGATAGCAATGGAGATCAGTTCGTAATCTGCAATAAAGTGTAGCCATTGCTAGGGTCTGGAGATTTTGTGTGTGCTGCTTCCTCTTGTTTTATCCGAGATGCCCTTGCGCACTCCCTACGTCGCCCTGCACCAGGAACATGAAATACGGCCCTTTTCGCCCGTTCTACCTCTTGACGATCAAGTTAGAGTGAGAAAGGTTGGGTATCGATTTTTAGAGTGAGAGACCATAACATCCAAATATATTGAAAAGCACGTCGGTGGTTAATCGGCTTTTGACATTGATCCACATGCAACCCGAATTAGAGTAGATGGATAATTGATGAGGGTGGATTGTGGATTGATAAATTTTCTACTCGTACTTGTTTTAGCTAAGATTGAGATGAGCGGAGTGTTGGTCACCCGAATGACTCAGCACCATATTTTCATATGAGAAAAATGTTATTTTTTTTATTTATACTATTGAATATTCACGATATTTTCTAATTGCACTGTACAGTCACCATCGATTTCTAAAGATGGAGAATAAAGAATGATTTTGAACTACTGATATTGGCTACCATATGTTGTTGTGCAAATGACGATTCGATATTGATATGCAACTTAGAAATTATTAATTGTATCAAAGTCGCAAAATTCGCTAGTTTTCTCTACACAATTGGCTGACCGACTTATGAAAAAATTGGTCCAAATTATACACGGATTCGCATGATACAAAGTGAGAAGCGTCTAAATCGAAGATAGAATCTTACTAATTTGCGAAGAACTTATTATAAATATTAACCAACTTTCTTAATGGCTAGTTGGAAAATTGCTTATGCAGGCTAACCCACAACCCAACCACAACTATCCGCCATCCATCCCCCAAAAAGAACGATAATGAATCACAATTATACCACAACTCGTAAGTAAGCGGGTGGGTTAATTTGATACCAAAATCCACCTGACCTCCTCATTCCCACTAGCAGAGACAAGAGCGATCCACACGCCAGGTTGGTGTTTCGGCCGACCCAGATCTCTCTTTGGCCCACCAAGCTCATTCCCTTCGACTCTCCCTCCATGGGCCGAATCTCTCTAGGCCCAAACAATTACTTTATTCTCTCAACATACATTATTGTCGTCTTCTAGTATTGTACTCGGTACACATCAAGCAAACCATACAACGTATACATAACAGTCGACAACGTAACATGAAGTTGTTACAGTCACACAATTCAAACCATAGCCGCCATGAAATCGGCAGTGAAGGCTTCGACGTCGCCGGCAGGAACTCCGATCCTGACGTCAATCCCCTTGGCATCGACGGGACTCTGCATGAAGTAAGCAACCTGAGGGACAGGTGTCAGCAGCGGACACGCGCAGTCCACGTCACGATCTCCGCCGAGGAAACGGAGCTTGTGGAAGGGCATTCTGGTCCAGTCAGACACGAGAGTGAGCTCCCTGAGAGGCGGGAGGCTGCTGTTGCCGTGCTGGCGGTCCAGCGCTGCCATGTAGGACTCCACGTAGGCAGGCGTGATGGAGGCCTTGGCGAGGCGGATTCGGTCGACGACGGATTGGTGGGTGGATTGTTGTAGCTCGCCGGCCGTCGTTGCGACGGAGGCTAGCACGAAGGCGTTGCCGGTGAAGCCCGCCGGGAGTGGAGGGGTGAGCTTGTTTCGTATGTCCACGGCGAATTGGAGGCACACCATGGTTGTTTTGTTGTTTGGTCCTAGTAAAGCTTTGGTTCTCGCCTGAAACAAAAAAGTCCACCGGCCCAAAATGAGACTCAGATGATAAATCTTTTTAGAAATCCTATCACACGCCCTCAAGTCTTGACTCAAAAGTTTTTTCGCCACAAATTTAAATTTTGGTTGCAAAATCTACTTTGAATTATATCGTCCACTTAGGGGTTACAAATTACGATAGATGTTTATTTTCAACACTAACACTTTTCTAATCACGACGAGTTAGTAACCCGAGATTGAGGTTTCTTGTTGTTTCTCTGTGTGACGACAAAAACCATCGCAACATTCAAGTGCAATTAATTAAATGTTTTCACAGTAAAATATTTAATCTACCATGTCACAAGATCATCTATCACTCCTTATTTCACAAAAATGAATTAATTGCTTTATTATTTGAATGAGAACAATTGATCTAATGATAATATAAGAGAATAATATTTACGACGCTCACTAAATTCGAAACTCGAGGTCAACAATCATTAAAAAAATTCATATGAATTAACCAAAATAAAAAGAGTTGTAAGATTGATAATTACCTTCCATAAGTGAGCTGCTACGATCTCAAACGAGGAGATACCGCCAAATACATTATTCCTTCGTAGTTTGTCTATCATTGCACTGCCGAGATGGTAAGTCTTGAGCACCAAGCTACCGCCGTTCTTCTGATCATCATCATCATCATCATCGCCCTTGGCCGCCGCGGCGGCAGCTTGTTGCTGATGAATCAAGCGGTAGAGATGGTCAATGGCCGCCGCGTCTGCTGCCTTGGTTCGTTTTTCGCCGTTATAATCAACACAACCCAGAGACGTCAAGCTCCGTCTATCGTGATCGACGATACTACTGCCACTGCTCATAGGTTGCGTTGAAGACGGCGGCGAAGCAGCAGCAGCAGCAGAAGCCCAGGCGGAGAGGAAGCGGAAGGTGGATGGGCCGTCGAATAAGGAGTGGCTCGTCCCTATCCCTATTGAATACCCTCCACACCCGAATCTCGTCACCTATGTCACAATAAAATCATTTGTGTAAAAGATATTATGTTGGATTATGATAATTAACTCTAGGATTAATGGTTAGATGGATAAACAAATCGGAAAATTTGGATTATTTGTTTTAAAAAGGATGCAATAGTCTGTAACATCCCGAACCTTTACCCGACAAGATACTGTCGTGCTTTGGGCCTCTACACCCCGCACGGATTTCGACTTGGGGTGCAATTCAGGGTGACTTCACATAAGGTCACTCCACGCTGAGCACGTTTAACTTTGGAGTTCTCACAAGAACTCCTCCATTACACCCCAAAACGCGTCTTATCAGTTAAGGTCGGTTTCCTGCTTATGAACCATGGATCTCTCCCGTGATTTTTCGACATGGGATTTGCCTAAAGTGTTACATAGTCTACGTAATTATCACAAGAACAGCTAGTTGTTCATAAATTCATCAATTTTCACAAGCTCGGATCATAGATAAATGTTATATACAAGAAACCGGAAACCTCAAACCCTACTCAAATTATATATAAAATTTTCCAGATCATAGGAGCTAATTACTCTATACACTAATCACAGTTGATCATCTCAATATCTCGAGTTGTAGTTGTGTATGTTCAGCTATTGATCATGTAACGCTCAATAAAACACACTCGCTCTCAGACGGAAACCACCTGATGAGTTGCACAGATAAAAGAAGGCTAGCTATGATACCATCTCATCATCAAGAACTAATTGATCTCAAGAACTCGAATTATTTGGAGATGTTGCAATTCTAAAATCATATACCACTTACTAACAAAACCGCACCCTAATTAATTATCATAGCACACATATGTTGAATTATCAATATGGGTAGGAGGACACTCAGCCTAGCTAGCTAGCTATCTAAAGGCATATGATCAAACGTGATGACTAACGGTACCTGAGCAACAAGGAGAGGCATCTGGGACAAGCAATCGACATCGAAAACCGGCTTGTACACCAACTTCTCGAGAAACTCGTCATACTGAGAGAGATCATCTCCAAGCTCAGAGATCTTGACCTCAGTCACAGCCTCCACCAACACACCACCTTCGTTGTTGCACCAAAGGTTCAGCCTATTCCCATCCTCTGGATCCACACACAGCCTTCCTGCAGCAGGGTACCAGGCCTCCAAAGTCTCCTCCAGCCCGGATTTCAGCCCACCATAAACCGAATCCTGAAGATCGGCCCGCTGGAGATGATGATGATCTGCAGCAGCAGCAGGCTGTTTGTAGAACAGAATTAAGTACATGTGAGTTGGACACTGTCGGTCCAAATTCGAGAGGGTGATGATTTTGGGAGGGAGGAGGGATTTCTTGGGGAGCACTCTATCTGTCTTAATGATTGAAACTACTGCAGCCATTGATTGGGTTGGGAGAATATGTATGAATAAAAGAGGAGAAGAATTGGGTTTGGTCGATCGATGTAGAGAGGAAGTTGGAGTGCTATAGCTAAAGATTGATTCGAGTTATATAAAGAAATGTATGATATGTTTGAATGCTTATGATCATGTACATTATTATTTTTTAATAGTATATATGTTAGTGGTCCTTTGGGAATGGCAAAACCTAGCTAAGAGAGTCTCTTTATGTTTGTTTTTTTTAGTATACAAGGTTAATGATGTTGTTTTCGTTGATGATGATTATCATGTTGTCGGATTTGTGAGGTTAGAGAAGGGTGCTAATTAACCTACAATGATATAGTATAATAATTGAGAAAAACTATTATTTTGTTTATTTTCTATTTTTTGAGGACAAGCTCCGATGACTAAATCATGTAACTCTACGTTGTCAATTTTGATTTACTCCGATGTTGTAGGTGTTTATGACCACTTAAGGTGGTGTTGGATTTGATGTCTTTGATGAAGTTTTAGCACGAAGTCGTCGTTGAATCCGGAACTAGAACCCGTGCGCTGATGAATTTAGCACTACAAAGCTATTACTACTCTACTATTGTTTATATTGCAAGGTATAAGAACTAGTTGATACACAGTTACTTATTAGGGTTGGGATGAGTCTTCTTGTATATGCATTACTATATTGAACTACTGGAGCGCACTGCCTGCTTGAACGACTAGTGAAAATGACCCACTAGCTACTTGTCTATAGTGTGTGTACTATAATACACACAAAAAAAGGACATATTATATATGCCCAATTGTCTGTATTGTATTTATAAGGATTCAGATCGGATATGGGTATCTATGGATTGGCCATATTTGTTGGGGAGTTGATGAACATCTGGTCAGGAAATTCCGGTTTCTGGTCAGCCATTCATATCATCTAGTTTGTATTCATCATAGAGAGAAACCTTCGTCTAATTAGTTGGGTAGTGATTTATCTTTAGTAAATTTTGAATTTCGGAACTTTCTGTTTTCAAGATTTGGGCCTCAACACGGCCAAGAGAAAGCGCAAAATAAACCTTAAACAACAACCATATTTCGATTTAGGTACTATATATGTACGATGATGTTAATTAGGACATATTATGTACCAAGACTACGGCTAGTACAAATGTACAATGCCCTCCGGCCAAGGGATAGCACAAGTGCAAATCATGTTGCGTAATATCCATGCGGAAACGGGTCGGGGAAGGTCGCTTCATTATTATATATAATTTGAAGAAAATATTTATTTTAAATGATAAAAACAATGAAAAATAAAAATGATAGGTAGATTAATGAATTGAGTGAATTAGTTGAAGAATGAAGTCTTGCACTTATCTAAAGTACAAATATGGTTTAAGATAAATAAAAATAGGATAAATATAATTAAATATCGAGACAACGGGCCAAGAACGAGGTGGGACGTGACAAAAAGGAGGACGGAAGTAGTACCCATACCTAGCTCTATACTACCACGGATCGCTACTACCTGCCCCAACACGAATCATATCGGATAACACCCAACTGAACGGATTCAAATTGTCATCACTATCACAAAACTCCATTTTCAATGAGGGTTTAAATGTTTTAGAAGCTTTATATTCCATTTTTGATAACTCAATATTAATATTTTCCCTAAAGATAACATACAGAACGAATGTACGTGAATTAAACTTCAAAAACAACATACAGATTTTAGTATTAAGTAGAATGTGTGACATTTTCCAACTATTCACGGAACAAAATCCTTAGCTATACTATCCTCCTCGAAAACGAACTATAGAAAGCTACTGAAAGCAAAGCTATAGAGATAGGTAGCTGGCATATATGTCTGCCCTAGCTATCTACAGTGCTAATGCAAAGGGTCGGCGAAGGTTGGGATTAATTTACGTGTGGAAATCTGTTAAGGTGATCACATTAGACTACTTTACTGTACAGCATGCAAAACAAAGCAACCTTTAGTATGTATTATAATCTAAGTTGCTGCTGAGCAGGAAAAAAGCATTAGCGTGAAATTGAAGCACTGTAGTCTTTTTGTCTGCTGCCGGTCTCCTTCTTTGCCAGCATTTTCCTCATCTCCGGTGGATCCCTTTCCGTCCTCTTATCATCAATCCTTTTTTTTTTTCCCTTGCCGTTGCTTGCTAGCTAGCTAGTGCCCCCTCTTCATTTCTTTTGTACATCTCTAGTTGGCTTGCTAGCTTCTCCACTATATATATAACGATTGTCCTACTCTTATAGTATATCATATTCCAAATAATATGGTTGTTGGATCTACTTCGTTATACTTGGTTGAATTCAGAGAATCAAAGGCTGAAGTTTATCCGTTATATATATTTACATTATTAACTTTTGTCAACGAATTGTAGAATATACTTAGCTTCACTAATCGTTTCAACAAAAAAAAAGGGAAATAAAGAAAATTAGATAATCGAGTGAAAAGTTAGGGCTGTTTAAAATTCCACGTGTGGAAGGTGCAAATCACTGGAGCCTCCAGCTATTTTGAAGCTAGACCGTAGGGGCTTGTAGCGGTTTAGCTAACTCGCTTCTATTGGCAGCGATTTGGGTAAAATCACTTCCGACTCCAGCAATCTTTCTCCAAAATCAGTAACTACTTCAACGATTATTCCAAACGTGTATATTTTGAAACATTTTGGTGCAAGTTACGTGGAATGAGAATTTTTTTCCTAAGAATTTATGCTTTTAAAAGGAAAATTCAATGATATAAGACCCATTTTTTTTCACTTTCAACAACTAGAGTTACTAAGAAGGAGCTCTATTCGTCTATCAAATTTAGGTCACTGATCTGTTAAAAATTAATTGATCATTGTTTTACATCAGTTACCCCCTACCCCAAGTTTCCATTGTAAATTCCTACCAGCTGCTTCTTAAAATCACACCTATGACTTAAAAGAAAATAACACAATGAGCCTGTCCTGGAGTTCATGTTTCTCAATCATCTAACGCGACGAATCCAGTACCAGATGTTTGATTCTCAGCAGCTGTGGTAGCATCATTTGCTTTGCTGCTGCTCTCTATTCCCGGGTTAGCATCGCTCTTCCATTGTTCTCCCATTTCCACATCGGCCGACTCTGGCGTAGGCCCAAACAGTGAGCTGATTTGATTCTGCAAATCAACCTCCTTCCTGCCGAAACCAGCTGGAGGCAGCTTTGGTAGTTTTGGCTCTACGTCTGGCACTGGTTGTTCTGAAGCCGTTGCATTCTTCTGCTCTGGGTTTGAGAGAACATGACTCATCTGTTCACAGACGGTCTCCAGCGGCTGGAGGTTAGGCTTCGATTCGAAACTAGCTGTTCGGCTTCTTGAAGATGTCTCGGCTACTTCAGGAGCAACAACATTGTCAACAGTCTTGCACATCTGGAGAGAAGAATGGTGGAAACAATGTGATCAGATATTTACTGAGAAGCCTAGTCCATGAACTTAGTTGTTAAACTCGGATGTAACTGCGAACAATTACCTTGTTGTAAAGGCCAACCATTTCCAACCGATCTGGATCATTGACACATCCAGCAGTAAGAGCATCTTTTGGTGCTGCAAGAGGAAGAAAATGGGGCCACGTCAGTAGATAATCTTCTTGTTTTATGTCAGTAAATAACTAAATATTAGACCAAGTATGAAGGTGAAATGCTTCATTCAGCCATGAACGTCTACAGTTCATCACAAGTATCCCAATTACATGCCCCAACTAGCGAAAGCAAAAAAGAAATCACTTACTTATTTCTTCCATTTGAGGGTGTTGATTGTTTGTTACCATATCAATATTCACCGAACCTGAAGCTGTACCATTGGCTCCCCTAGTTTCACTACCAGGCCCTTTCTTCTCCGGCTTCGCATCAAGGTTAGCCTGCACATGAGAATCAAAGCAAAATTAGAATCCCTAACATGACCTTTCCAACGCACATCTACTAATGAATGCAACTAACGTGAGTAATCTAATCAAAATCTTAACCAACTTACGGAGTATTGTATCTGGCACTCAGCGTGCATCGCCTTCTCAAGAAGAAGCACCCTTTTCTTAACAAACTCAACCATTCTTCTCTGCATATCTCTGAGCTGGTAAAGTATTGATTCTTGGTATGATTGCCCTTGACTTGTTCCATGGGGCATATTAGTACCAAGATCATTCGCGGAAACATTTACTGAGGCTGGCTGGATACCTGGACCTTCAGCAGTTCCGGAACTGGCACCATTCTGTGCCTGAGCAGCCATTTGTCCAGGGGCCGGTAGGTTTATAGCGGGAAGATTCAGCTCTTGGGAGATAATTTCTTGTATCTTTAAGTCCTTGTCATCAAGGATAGCTTGCCATCGTCCATACCCTTGCCTTTAGCGAGGACAAATAATTAAAAAGTGCAACAATCATAAAACGGGTTAAGAAGGCACTGAACAGTTGAAATCAGTGAATGTAAGCAATACAGCATTCACTAGTTAATTTAGAACTTCAAACCCAATCCACTTAATACGATGGCAAAAACTTAACTCCAAACAGAATCATATTCAGTTTGACGTAGGAATATGATGTTTCAAGAGGTTGGTCCAGGAAAATCAGTTTGTAGAAATGGAAAGCACTGGCCATCAGCGTGTGTACAAGATAAAATGGCATCAGTCATGTCCCAACAAAATGCACTAGAAATCCAAGGATGGTCGAGTCGCTGATTTATTGCTCCAAGAGACTCGTTATTTTGTCAGGGACAGTCTGACTACTAGAATCTAGAAACTACTTCTGAGATCTTACTAATTTTTAGACAAATTTGAATAGCATATCACAATTAGTTTGAGAATATGGCCATCTCTATAGGTACATTAATGAGGTTCACCATCTCTCTAGGAAAGCTTACTTGATTACTGCCTTGAGTAGAACTTTATCATGTGCTTCAGTCCAAAATTTTCCGCACTTAAGCCCAGGCAAGCGCGGATAAACTTCCCTGTCAAAAAGAGGCATGCTAGGATTCTCTGATACGAGCCTC